AATATATCTCGCGTTGGTGAGGGGTGACTGATAACTCATTATTTTAAATATCTTTAAAAAATATTTTGAATGATTTCTAGAGAGTTATTAATACATTTTAAAAGATTTTTGAGAATTAATTAAACGATTTGATTTTGAGCATGATTTGGATATCATCTTATAAGTTTCTTAGTTTTTTAAAATAAAATAAAAGTAGTTAAGATAATTTTAAGAGTTAAAATTTTATTATTTTATTTTTGTTTCCTTCTCTTCAATTTCTGTTAGTTTATTTATTTCTTTTTATCTTATTTGCTTTGCTTTAAAGTTGTCTTTTATTTTTTTATTTTTTTGCTCCTCTACAGGGCGGGACGCGCCGTTCGGGTGATGGCAAACAGAAAGGAGGACATTTGAAAAGAGGGGAACGCAGCGTTTGGATGAAGGGAGCTGAGGGCTTTGCGAGGAGAAGGGAATCAGGAATTGACAGAGGGATTCATCATTGTCTAAGCGATATTCGGCTAGGTCTTGAAGAAAAAAGGCGGGCGAACTGGTTCGAAAGGAGGGGAAGATTTCATCATCGTCTTGGACAGAGGGATCTTGGTCTCTGCTTTTAGGGAGCTGCGGAGCTGGTTCTGGTTCGACAAAGAGAGGGAGGCGCCGAACTGGTTGTGGTGAAGGAGGAAGGAAGGCCGCCGAACTGATTGGCGTCTTCTTTGCTGCACCCAGACAATAAATTTTAGGCGAAAAAATTGAACTCATCGGCAAGCCAAATGCAGGTTCCAGGATACTTTGTCTAGATTTGAAGTTGGAATATCAATAGTGTATATTTTATGCTAATGAAATTAACAATTAGGGTTAAAAATTGAAAAACAAAACACTTTATAAAATTAAAGAATTAATTGAAATCTTATATAAAATTATAAGGCCAAATATGCAATTTTATCTTTGTTTTGTTCTTGTTTTCTTTTAAGTTTTTGCATCTCTATGATGCAACATTTATTATAAAAACATTTATTAAGTTACGGTGAGATGATGGACGAAAGATGGAAAAGTAAAGTCAGAAAATGTTCAATTTAATAAAATCTCTTCCGTGATTTAGAGTTGGATCTAAAACATTTCGTTTTATTCTCTCTTTCTATACAATCACACTTCACCTCCTTTTTGAGATATGATTAATTAATTAATCATCTAAATACATACAGGGAGCTTTTTACTCAGGATTTAATTAAAATAGTTTATAAGTAATTTTTTAAATATGATTTATAAAATATGAGATAAATATATTATAAGAGTTTTTTTTTATTTACACGAAATATGTTTGTAAATCATTTTCAATGTCATAACAAACAGACCCTTAATATACCTTATAGGCCTATATGTCAGAGTGATGATTATTAACGATTCAAAAGTCATGTGCTGAGCTGATTAAAATCTGCATCGTCATGATCACCATGTACTGGCATGAAAGCGACTCCCCAATGTATCACGAAAGGACTAATTATTAATTGGCTGACTGTTAACTCGAACCTCACAAGACGCTCCAAGAACCCCCACTTACGTCTTCATCACGTCACCATCATCTTACATCCTAGCTGGCCACCTAAAAGGACACAATGGCGATTTCGCTTTGTCATCCCAAGAAAAAAAAAAAAGTAATTCTTTGCAATCACCACTGAAATCCATTGATTCAAGACAAGTCAAAAGTTCGTTGACCTCTTATGATCAAGGACTCGCTCTTTATAATAAGACTAATTAATAAAAGTGAGATTTTCTCTAAAACTAGTATGGGAAAACAGTCAGTTGCTATAAGCAAATAATCTAGTATCTTTCGGTCTAAAATATAAAACCATTTTTACAATATAATTACATTATAAAAAGAGTTTTATATTTATGAGAGGAGGATTATCTAAAAGCAGCAATTATTATAGTGAAAGTAATACAAGTGCTGATTTCCAGCACGGAACCTTTCCATTGCGTAAGCGTAATCTCTCCATTTAGCCTCCATTTAGATAAAACAGTGTCGTTTCTCCATTTAATAAAACGCTACGTTCAACAACTAGGCACTTAAGCGGCAAGGAAACACCAATGATTTTAGCACATGTTCTGCGCAGGGAAAAGCACAAATAATATTTATACAGAACATAATAAATAGCAAGGCGAAAATTGTCTTCATGTTCTGTGTAATAAATTCAAAGACACGACAAAATTTTAGCACATAATTATTCCCTTAGATGGTCAGGAGTAGTTCTGCTGCCCACTATTTAGCAGTTTTTGTATCAGCAATATAGTGAGCACTAAAAGATGCAGCCTCCCGTGGCAATAAGATTCCTCTTTGATCACCATTCACCAACCAAAGGTAAGAAACATCGAAGACAGTTCAATTTGTTAAACACCCAACCACTTTGAAAATAAAAATCTTATTTAGAATACCGTAGATAAAGCAACGGAGATAGAGGGGCGTAATTTGTGAAGGAAAGGGGGGCATTAAAGCATTTTAAGGGTAAGAAATAAAATAAGTGGGTGAGGAAGAATGGAATGTTACCTTTCTCTCTTCTCCCTATGACGAGCCAGATCTGGGCGATGGTGGTTGAAGGTGAATAGGACCATGGGTGGTGAAGACTTAGAAGAGCATTATGGATGAAGAGAATCACAGAAGAGCACAACGGATGAAGAGACGGTGGGCAATCAGGAATTATCACTAACAATAGTGAGATGTGTGAAAGAAGAGAGTCGGTCATGGAAGAACAAAAAACTCACGAGACCGAAACGATAAACACTCAGTTGAGTTGGAAAAGCTGTAATTTTTCAAAAGGATAATAAAACGACACCGTTTTATTTAAATGGAGGCTAAATGGAGAGGCTGCCCAATGGAGAGATTCCGTGCCGGCTGATTTCCTGGCCACTCATGCATATATATAGATATTATCGCTACCTCTTGGTTGCCCATTTATTATCCAACTTATTTCCCGAAGACTCTTTGTCCTATTTTGCATGTTGATGTTTTGAGTGTGACTCTATCCCCTCAAGTGGGACTCTTGTTTTGCTTCTTTTCTATTATTTGGTCTGTGAATCATTAATTGATTCTTTTAATAGAAATAAAATAATAATATTCACATTTCACCCAAAAAATAATAACTTTCACCATTGCCGTTTACTTTGAAGGCACCGTTTGCCCCTATTGTGAAATTGGCACGAGGATGCTACCTATAGATGTTTAATTATTGACCCTTGCTAATTGCTCCCGCCTCAGAGAGATATCCACCTTGCGTCTACTCCCGGGTTTTTATCGAGTTTTTCCTGTTTGTACCGGGTTGTTTGGAGAACAATTCATCTGCTAAACCAAAGGCCCGTTTACTAGTTTTCAATTTGAATCAGTCGATCCGGTCTGATTTTTTGAATCTTAAAATTATGTCTAGTTAACTCATTTTTCATAGTTGTTAGCTGCCTTGTATTAGTTCTCTGCCTTAATTTTGCAAGCTATATTAATTAATCTGATTTCCTCTTCTATTTTTTAAAATCTGTTTCAAGTGCATACTAAATTAAACCCACCCAACCCCCAAAAACATACATATAATGAGAGGAAAAGAAGGAGAAAGGAGCGTCAGTTATGTTGAAACAACTAGTAAGAGAGTTGTTTTACTTTAATTAGAGGTAAAGCTTCTGCTCGAAAAGGTTACTTGGCTCAATAAAACCCAAAAAGCTGTTTTTGGCAGTGGGGATGCATGCTTAGTGCTTGTTGGAATGATGATTAGGATTCCCAATTATATTTATTGGACAAAATTTCTCTAGTATATTTAGTTTTATACTCACGGAAAAATATTTTTTTTATAAGTTGAGACAAACTTCTCAACATATTTACTTTATATATTGTAAAAAATACTTTCAAAACTATAATTTTGTTCCTACCCAAACGATCCCAAAATAGATTTTTAATAAAATTAAATAAGGAGATATCTATTTCAGATTCACTTTGAAAAGGTGGTGATCATCAGGGAGAAGTGGAAGAAGACAAAAGACTTATACAATCCTCAAAAACAACTTTTTAATTATAATTTTTGAAATACAAAATAAATAGGAAAGAGAAATTTTATCTCAACTTAAATTTATAAGTGCTTATACTAAATAGCGCTGAGTAAGTTCCACTGTAAGCGAAAGCTGAGATAGAATGGATGAAAAATTTTAATGATTTCAATGTAAAAAAATTCATAAAAATAAATTTAAATTAATACCTTTTATATTATAATATGTACTATAAAATTTCACTGTTAATACCTTTTAAATTTAAAATATTATAATATTTAGGAAGGGTATTTTTTTCTTACATATTTTCACTATTAACATTTTACAATTCTATTTTTAAAAATTGTCGTGCTATGAGGTTTTGTGACTCTTTGAATTATTGCTTCTGTCAATGAATTCATCTCCCAATCGAGGAGGATCGATACATGTTTCGATGCCATATTGAACTAATCGTTCGACTGACTACGTTTGGAATATCCATTAGGCCAAAGAAATTTCCTACCCTGTGCCAGAACGTGTGATGTTTTGATTTTCTATAATTCGTTACGATCTTCTTTTTCTCCTTTGCGGATTGGTTCTTTCATCAGTACTCGGTGTCCGCGATTTCAACTGTGATTTCTTTGATTAAGTTCAGGTAACAATGATGTAGCACAATGTTGCATACACATGCTGTAGTTGTTAATGTTACCTGATCAATAGTAGATCCTGATATTAAATTATTTGCAGCTCAAGACCAGACTTTGATAGTTTTTGGCGTCACTAAATGATATGAGCTGTGAGACTTTGCTCAAGAATTTATGAACTTTTACTTCATTAGTGGTTTTCCTAGCTAGTTCCACCAATACCAATGCCAGCATATATTTTCTGAACCGTTATGTTGTGCAGCCGGACAAGATCGCTGCTGTAGAGGACGCTGGACAGGAATTGTATTCATCTACTCACTTCACTTGAGGTCAGAGACGGAGTTGCGCACTTTCATTCCCGCATTGGCTGGATTGAGGTTGGAGTTGGCTAGGCTTTGCAAAGGTTTAAGACCAGTAGGCTGCAATATGGCGTGGATGCCGCGAATCTTTGGGACAAATTTGACATCAACACTAGGTCCTTCTGCACCTTATTCCTCTAGATTCTTCTCCAAATCAGCTCCGTACATCAGTAATGCCTCCTTCCTTTCTCTACCATTTCTCCATGCTTCATTTCATTCACTATTTGATATGCCCAAAGCAAAAATATCGGACAATTTTGGTAATTGTAAAAGAGGCCCTGTCAATGTGTAGATTTTAGCTTCGTAATAGCTGGTCTATTCAAAATCTGATCCCCCCCCCCCTCCTGAATCTCTTGCACCTCTTAGTGCTGCCATTCGTTGGGATAAATGGGAATGAGGGTTTATTGTTTTCTCGTTGTTGAGTTTGTATAACTTGGGAGAAATAACCTGCTTTAAGCCTTACCCAGGATTAGCTATTCTAGAATTAAATAAGTGACCATGCTTCTTCAGTCTTAAAGTGTCCTCACATGTGGATAAGTCTTCTTGTTATTAAGTGGCAGACCTATGGATACGATAAAGTCTTGTTTTGACGCTTGCTACTGCAGCAAAGGTTGGAATCCCCGAGTTTGTAAATGGAATAGGGAATGGAGTTGAATCCCATGTTGCTAAGCTTGAAACAGAAATTGGTGACTTCCAGAAGCTTCTCGTCTGTCGTACCCTCAAGCTCAAGAAGCTGGGCTTTCCTTGCAAACATGTAATCCCAATCACATCTCTGCTTGCTTTCTCTCCATGCAGATACAAGAACATATTATCATTTGTAAAAGCACCTATGCATATGCCTTAATATTCATGCATATATGTCATGTCAATGACCAATATCTTGTGTCTTCAAGATATTTCTTGAATTTTTAAATTCTTGGTAATTTCTCTTAACACGTTTGTTGCTGAACTTTCATTATGTCTCTATTTTTTGTACAAATTTATGGATTTATCATACACCTTTGTTTCTGTTCGTTAAATCCTTCTTTTCTTTGGCTGGTGTCATTATTCAAATTTTAATATTTTTTGTTTTCCCACCAAATGCCACTTTTATGAACCAGATCTGTTATGCTCAGGTCCTTTTTATTTGGAATTTGTCTTAGATCTGTTAGCTTCGTGTTTTTACCTTTTTATTTTTGGCTCAGAATGGATGCTTACCCAATTTTCGCCAGAAAGTATGCCAATAGTGCAGCATTATTTCCTGGCATCTTGCTGGTATAATTTGACAGTATGATTATGTCCTATAGCTATGCTTCATGTACAGAACTTATTGGATTCTAGAAGAATAAGCAGCTGGAATCTGAATTCACCTTTATTGAAATGGATGATAGATGTCAACCGTCTTATTTTGTTCCGCTGCTAAAAATAATTGTAAATCTCACTAGTGCGTGTGTTATATTGCGTTCTGATGTTGCACGTTCTTCTTACAGCTGATTGGAAGCAGGTTCCTGATGGCTCCCTTGTATGAAAGTTGAACTGACTTGAGTTTCAAGCAATTGTTTGTGGCTAGCGCTTAGTAATAGCAGATCTTTGTGGTTATATGGGTAAAAGGTGCTTCCTTAACGTACTACATAGCATTCCACCCCTTGATTGACTCTGTTGCTGATAGAATACCACGACTTATATACAGTAGAAAGAAGAGAAAATGTGAGAGGGTATAGGGATGGTTATGCTATGAAGAGTAACTTCCCTGCCATGCTGTCATATGTGCCTAATGTGTTGTCAATGATCTGAGCGAGTTTATTATGCGTCGTCAATTTCTATGAGGATGGGTGTGGTGTCAATTCTAGGGGTTAGTATGCTCAGTTATTTTGATTTCATTGTAATATATACGTACTGGACTGATTATTAGGGAATCTATGTGAGCTATTATTCAGCCCTTTATGGGAGATTAGATTTTCTTGTGGCTTTTTTCTATTAGATTATTCGGACCTAGCTGAAGAACGATAACTCACTGGCTTGTTAAAAAGGCTGCAGGGGTATGACCATTTATCTTTGGCAGAAATAAAGGTTTTGTGATGTTTCCACTATCTTGTTTCAAGACTCCTTTAATTGATATTCGTTTTGGACCATAAGACATTAAAATGCGTGGGGCCTACATGCGAACTCTTTGTAACCTATAGTTTTTGCTTTGCAGAGGAAGTTAATATTGAAATATGCACACAAGTACAGGCTGGGATTATGGAGGCCTCGAGCTGAACTAATCAAATCGTGATCGGTTTCTTAATAGCTTTTCTTTATCACACCTGAAGTTCTAGATGCGCCAATATGTGAATGCTGGATTTCGCATGGAAAGAACAAGTCTATTGCTTCTGATAATACCCAACTTCATCCCATTCAGAACATCTGGATAATTTTTGGTATTCACCATTGAACACCAAGAGACTTGTCCTAATTGACCGTCGGTGTGGCTGGTCATTCTGGTACATTTACTGCATTTTCTAATCGTATGACTTGTTTTTGGTAAGTATGAGACTGATGAATTGAAAGATTCAGCAATGCTTCATTTATTCCATGATAGCTATTGTAAAACTCAACGATGCTCTTTATTTGCTCTTTTTTTTTTTTTTTTTTGGGTCAAGCACATGTATCTTCTTATTCTACTAAGTCTATTTGAAACACTATCAATCCTTAAAATGTGAGCACTTTTTTTAAATTGGTTTGTTACGTCATGAGGAATAAATCCTTTCTATTAGATATAATCTGATCAACGAATGCTCTTTAATTTTGCAGTCATGTGCATCCCTTCCTAATTGTTCAATAATTGATCAGATCTGATATTAACTTGTGGTTGAATTATGAAAGTATGATGTGAATATGATTATGACAATAGTAAAAATGAAATTAATGCAAACATGGAAGAAAAAATGAAAAAAAGAAGAGATAAATTTAATTTTCAGATAGGTACGAAATGCAACTTATAGAAAGATCTAATCCTATTTCAAAAGTTATAACTTATATATAGGATTAACGACCACCGAAAGTAACAATTAATGGAACTTACCATCCTCCCACTTTCTTTTTGGTTTTTTTTTTTCCTTGGGTGCTTAAGGTCGTAGACCTGCTGAGTATGGGGGCCATAATCAATGCAATGCTTTCAAAAGTGAAAACACCATTCCACTCAAAAGAAAAAGGTAGGCTTCAACTTAATTTAAGGCCAAACGCTTTGTAGTATAATAGCATTGATGCTTTTCTATAGATTGTAACTGAGAGGTCATCGGTTCAATTCTATTTATAATCTCAAGTTGTTAGTGCCTGTCCTTTTAATTTTAAAAAAAAAAAAAGCATAGATGGTTACAGAATGGTTTGTCCTTGGGCTAAATGTCAATGTCAGTACGTGCCTGGGGTTTCCCTTTCTTCAAGGATTCATGTCTTGGTTCCTTGTACAATACTTATTTAACTCTGTGGTGGAGCTCCCATTGTGCTGTGGCTATCCATTCCCATTCCATGGCAGTTATTTAGCAGGGATTCCATGGGCTTGATTTCCTTAGAAATTGATGTGGTAAGGACCAGAGTGGTATAGCTTCAGTATCAGTTACTGTTCATATGAGAGATAGCACGCAAACCAAAGAGTATATGATACTCTTGATAAGCCATAATTCATTAGAGATTTATAAGATGCATAAAGTATTTTGATATTAACATGCTTTACTCTCATTCTATTCTCATAAAACAGATTTCTTTAAAAACAAAATTAAAG